ATGAAAAAAAAAAAAAAAAAAAAAAAGATTAATTATTGGGGATATATATCGTTTTTTTATTTATTGTTACTTCTAAACACGAGCATTTATTTGTTTCTTCAACTGATATCACCGTTGAAAATTTAACGTCAATTTTTTTTAGAAGATCAATATATACCTCTGTTCCACGCTCCGTTCGTTCGTACGGTCCGTTCGTTACTGAACAGGATACTGAGAAGAGAATGTAGAAATGTACGCAAAAATACAATGTGGAAGTAGGAAAAAAAGCAGAAATTCTTTTCTCGATGCATATATATGTTTTAGCGTATTGTAGTATACTCTGTTTCTATTGTATAGTATTTCCTTTCTGTTACAAAATGTCTTTTATTCCAAATGTTTTTTATTCTACGATGTCCAAACATTGCCTTTTTCGAATTAAGAAAACAAACAATTTCAAAAATTATAATATAAATAATTATTTTCTCTTTTTAAAGCTTGTCTTTGAATGATGATCGATAAACTAATTGTCATACTGGGTCATTTTTACTTAAGGTATCTTTTCAATGAAGAATAACAAACTAGTATCCCAGATGGTTTTACCGATTTTCTTTACGAAGAAGTAACTAAACACGTCGATATCTTCTTTCGTCGATTTTACGACGGAGACGCCTTTAGACTATTTTGGGAAAATTTCTTTCTTCGATCCAAAATTTGTTCTGCTTTTATTCTGACAGAAGGTAGAAGCAAATTTATTATACGACGCCTGGAATCTGGATTTATTTTCTGCCGAAAGCTAAGCATTGTTAACTGATCTTTATACGTAAAAATGTGATTAATATATTTCTTATTGATTAATGACAAATTATAGCTTCTCTAATCTGAAATTTTTATTAGATATTTTAAGACTCGAAGAGTTTGTAGCCTTGTAATGATACTTTTGTGATATATCCTGTATACTACGATATGGCTTTGGTGTACCGTGGTATCGATAATGACACATTTTACCTTCTAAGAATGCATGCATGCACTTCTTCAAGTGCGGATCTCCTGGAAGTGCCTCGCCTTCATTTCTTCCTGCTTCGACAGCCACTCTCGTTGCTGAAGTTGCATTATGTTGCGCGCATTATGCACATCGTTTATTCTCGTCGTGCAATTTCGAAGAGGTCGGATGCATACACACTCGAATACGAATACTAACGGAATCTTGCTTTTCAATGATGTTCTTATACAGGAAGTCTTATAACGCTTATATTGAATTTCAAAAATGTGCTTGGCTTTGTGAACCATCTTTTCGATATTAATATCGAACTTTAATATTAATTTTATGCTAATTGCCTCAACGAAGTCGACTTTTTGCAATTGAAATTATCTGACGATGAATGATAACATTTTAATTTGTAATTATCGTTTTCATTGTTCAGAAGTGTTCCGTCTTTAATATGAAATAACATGTAAATGGACGCTGGTTGAAAGGTTTGTAAAATAAGAATAAAGTTTAAATTTGTAGAGAGAAAGAGAGAGAGAGAGAGAGAGAGAGAGAGAGAGAGAGAGAGAAATAGTTAAGAATACATTCTTGATTCATAGTTTAAATATGCCACGTATTTATTCGATTAATGTATTGTTATAATATATCTAGGTTGATGATAAAAAACAATTTTGTTTATGAGACTAGTTTTGGCTAGAAAGAGAGAATTATTAGTTTAAAAGTTAGTTATCAGAAGAATTTGTCAAAAGCATTCTATTTTTCTGACAAAATTGAATCACAGTCTTGCGATCCGCTAGACTTCAAGGTAGTCTGGCTCAATTAAGTCAATCAAATAAAGTCACTTTAAAACCGACGATCTATCCTATTTGTAGATATCCGTGACCTCGAAAAAAAATTTCACGACACTCGATAATGAAGTTTAAATTGTACGAGCGAGCAAGGATTTGGAATAACGCGATTGCGCGTAATTGCGTTATTAATCGGCGTCGCGATATTAAATATGATGCAGTCAGCAAAAGGCGGGTATAGATAAGTCTCTACGTTTACACAACTGCGATAACATGCGCTCTTAAACGCATTTTAATAACAAGCGATGTCACAAATGTCGAAGTGCAAACGTGGAACGAATTGCACGTGTTACGTCCATGACGCGTTCTTTGTGAAGATGAATGACTAGAGGAAAAATATCGACTTCGAAATTTATAGTATTATTTGCTTTATTATAAATATTTTATTACATCTTGATACTGTGCAAGAAAGCTATATTGTAGCGTTACATTATTATTACTATACGCACTTTTAAAAGGAACCAGTAATGATCGAGATGAGCTATCTTTATGTCAAGGTCAACACAGCTGGAGGATATACATTAGAAAATACCTGTTTGGTATTTTCAGGTCTGACTTTTTGTAAAGCAATAATGCGCAACCTTTCTTTAAAAGTCGTTTAGAAAGTTATTTTCAGAGACACGTAGTCTTGCCGGCCGCAATAATGTTTTTGTTTGTACATAAAGTACAAAACATGATTTTTATATCTTCAACGCGATGAGCCGACGGATCACAGTGTTAACACTTTAGGCGTCGCTCTCATATTTTTATTACACACTTAATAAGTAACACACCAATTAGCTTTTTATCTGCCCGGTATTTTAATCGGCTAATAGTATCGGTTACGCATCCAAACAGTTACCGTCATCAGTCAGATGTTATCGTTTTCCATTTCTCGTCTGGAGATATCACATATACCTGTGTGTAGCGTCAATAGCGGTTTTTTTTCAGAACGGTGTGCCAGAGTGCACCGCACTCGCGCGCACGAAGATAAAAGGGAGGAGAGAAAGAGGCGGCGCGAGAACAGAGGTAAGGGAGAAGGATAGAGAGGGAGAGAGAGAGAGAGAGAAAGAGAGAGAAGTGAAGATACGCGCGGACGTATTTATCGCGCGCGTGCATTGTAAGGTCCGCCGACCGAGCGTGCAGATAAACACGCGCGTTGCGCACGTAACAGTATAAATAACTTGCGCAAGCGTTAATGAATGCTCTTATCTTACCCCGCTCTTCTCTGCCCCTTGAAGAGTCGCGAAATAGATATACCAGGCCAGACGCTGCGTTTTATTATCTCCGTCGATGCGCGTTGCGTTTATGCGGGATGAGCGAATTTCTTGCTTGCGCGAGAAGGCAAAGAGATAAAAGTTACGCATATCCTAGAGCGAGTACTGCGGAAGACGGCGCGTGAATAACATAAATAAAACGCTGCAGATAAACGCGCTAGGATGATATGATAACAATAAGTGCATAATGTCAGTTTTTGCACATAATTATTAGTGGCATAGTACCGTGTCTCTTATTTCTACATTTAGACAAAAAGACATAATGATGATGGCAATTACAAAAGGCTATGTCAGTTTTTATATGTTAGAATCAGCATATCCACGCACATACATACGTATAAAAAAATGGATACATAACTAGACAAGTTTTACATGTAAAATTAATACACACACACATAATTGGTACGATTTTATATAGTTAAAATATAAAATAGTTTATTTTGTAGTTGCCAGTATAAAATTATTTGTTCAACTGTACATCAATTCTCACATATAAAACTTGTATAATTACTACCACAATGTTTTTCTCCAGGTGTAACATGAACTTATAAAGTCTGCATAAATTGTGCGTAAATTGATTGAATTTTGTGTAAATTACTCTTATAAAATTGTCTTCAGTGTGTACCTATGTGAAAGTTCGAGAAACGATATATGGTAGAGGGCTGTGAAAATCTATGTGTCTCGCAAAGTGTAAAAAGAAAACAGGATTGTAACTGGAGAACGCAGAGATCCGACAATTGATTTCGCCTCGAGTAACGGTAACAGCTGACAGAGGCTCGTTGCCCTTGGGGAGACGGGGAATCGCAGCCCCCGTATTTCTCTTTTCCCCTCGCGTTACGCCATTTGCGATTTCCGCCGAGCTTTGCGAACGGAGGCCGTAGGGTAGAGATAAATCGATAAAGAACGCGAATGCGGGGGAGCATGAGAGCGGCCGTCGAGGAGTTCCTTTATAGCCATATAAATTACGCGCGTATAAATTACATCTATCGTTCAAAGCATCGTTACAGAGCACATTGTATAAAGACATTCGCGCTTCTGACGTTCCGAGTCTTCTCTTTTGAACATCTTAAAGTAAAAATACATCCGGTGGAACGATTAATTAATCGAAGTGACGTAATTTCTATCTGACTAGACTAAGAAGGGATGGAGAACATTTAATTAATCAAGACGTAAACGTCCGTTTGTAAAAACTTATTACAGTAAAAATTACAAGTAGCTGGATGTTTCCATTGGCTTGTAATTAAGAATTAATTATTATATACACGTCATAGCTGAGATTACGTGCCGTTAAAGCTATCTAACTTAAGACCATTAGAAGTTTATACTGATAAAAAAAGAATTAAACTTTAATAAACATCTGAATAATTCTAAGTAAATATTTACTAGTTGTAAATATATATTTATTTCATACGAAATCATTAATTTGATTTAAGCTATCATTTTTTTATTGAGTAAATATTTATTTATTGTAAGTAGATGTTTACTTGGTACTATTCAAAGAAATATATATTAAGATGTATATTTAGTAAATTTTTTTGTAGTATATATTAGATGAAGTTGCATTTGTAATGCATTCGTCTTTTAATTGTTAAATCCGTTCTCTTAATCGTCAATGACTTTGTAAGCCGCGGGCCAATTTGTGCGCACCGATTCGCATAATGATTGCGCATATAGACTGAATTTTCGTTTGCTTGTTTGTTACAGGGAACGTCGTGAAGTGGAAGCACGCGAGATGGAGAAGGTGAAAATGGAACGAGAAAGGCTTGAAAAACAAAGAGCCGAACAGGCGGTTCATAAGCACTTTGAGGAATCATTTAGGCTAGCACAAAAGGTATGTTATTCTTTACTACCCGTTTCATTTTGACCTGACACATTCCTTCGTATCTTATCCCTGAGATGCATTAGGTTTTGTTTTCAACGTATTTCTGTTTACGATCTCTTATTTTAATGGCTCCTCTTTCCGATTGATTTAGAAGTTGAAGAATTTGAACAATTTGGATTCGGAACAAATAAGACGCCAACTGTATCAGTTGATAAAAAGAAAAAATAGTTTAAGTCATAAGGCACAGATACAATACTCACTAAACTTTTACTAAATCAAAAGTTGTCATTTTATTAGAGATAAAAGCAACTTTCGATAGTAATACTTTTGATAGTATAAATATTTGCATCGTGCACAGAAAGACTTTTGTCTATAATATCCGGAAATAACCGGATTCTACAATTTTCGACAGCTAATTATCTAGTTAATTATCGATATCTTATTATTTCCTCTTATTTTCGAGACTAAAGGCAGCATCCCTCGTTCTAATAACATCTAAGAAGTTGATAACGAGGAAGTTTTAGTTTTCTTCGAGGAAGGTGTACTTTGCGATAAAATCGTTATTTCGCAGTCTTATATCTATAAAAATGGAAAAATGGGGATCGTTACGAAGAAATTTGATTTGAACAAAAATTTTCAAAGAAGTTGCGAAAATTCAACAAGGAATGTTATTCATTAATCATACTGTTAATGAGTAAAAAAATCGTAAGAAAATTAAAAACACATTTAGCTCTGCTTTCTCTTTGTTTTTTTTTTTTCTTCTTTTGAAAGAGGAATTCCTTGAAAGAGAAAGATAGAACAACAATTTTCAAAAGAAGAAAATAGTCCACAAAAGTATCTGTTGTTTTCTCATAAAATCATTCGATATATCAATCTATAATAATTAATACTGACAGCTCCTTTTTTGGTAAAATTAATCCGTTTAAAAATAAGTTTGTTCTTGTTTTGTATTATAAAAAACAATGGAGACTTAACAATGGATACTTAACTACGAAATTGTTAGATTATTTTCGTGCGAAAGAATATATATGCAATTTTTCTAATTTTTAAAGTAACTTCTGTGAGTGTAATAAGCACGTACGTTATGGATTTTGGAAAAAAAATCTCTATTTCACTTTACAATGCAATTTTTTTCGCGACTTTACGCGACTAACTTTACATTATAATTTTCGAGATGCTTTGATGCGTCATAATTCATACATCACTGAGTGTAATAACTGATTGTGTGACTGATAAATGGCCGACTAGCAAGAGAGACAGAGAAAATACTTTTCGCTTTTTGTCAAATAGAGGGCCATCTTTTAGGATGCTGAGTTTTAGACCTAAACGTTCATTCTTGTACAGTCCTGTGAAGAAAGTACAATCTTGTAGTCCAATTTCGTAGTACAGTCAGTTTTGTGATAATTTCATTCGTAAAAAAATTATAAAACTTTTACCATAACTACCGTTTATAAACTCAAAAGTTTAATTAGTATGTTTAATTGGTGATGCGCGGAATTGTGAACTAATTGTACAAACGATATTAAAACAAATTTGATGAAAATGAGTTTTGTGGACTAATAATCGTGATGAATACAAAATAAACGCATCATTCGGATATTTGGGACCGGAGCAGTCTTTTCACGATACACAAAAGGGAATCGCGCTCACGATTATTAAATTCAGTAATGCCGAAATATCTTCCGCACGAGGTAAAGTAATTATTCTTAATATAATTCGGTTGTGCGGCAAATTTATTTTTACATTCGCCGATTTGTATCTACCTGTTATACGTGTCGTAGAAAATTAGCAAATTAAAAGGTTGAATTTTATTTAACTTAAACGAAGCCAGCGAGACGCTTCGAGAGTATAGCTTTCTCGAATGCAGCCGACGTATATCCGCGATATCAGAATATTTGCATCAGGGTCAACGGACAGGTTTGCAATGCTTCGGCGCATCGGTGCATTGTCCGATAAGCGCGATTAACGCGTTTCCGAGCACAATAGCGCGGATTGATTTCGCGCGCGGCTCCATCATCGACCTTGGCATCTCGCCAAGCCACCGTCGGCGAACCGTGACACGCGTTTAGCACATCCGAGATTGGCTAACGATTTCACTGTGAAAACCGCGTGGCGCGAACGCGAGCGTGAAATTTCGACGAGGTACTCGCGCTTTGTTACAGCCTCTCGTTAGCTGTTGCTCGTTGCCGCAATTGTTTCTCACCATTGAGGTGAATTATGTGTGTACGATGAACTCGGTATAGATAGATTCCAAAATTTTTCTTTCCCTTGTTTCACTCACGTGGCGATATTCAACACAGAAGGTCCTAAATAAACTTTTGCTTTAACGCGAATACACCTACGTTTATTTCTAAAGAAAAATGTGCAACGTGACTGAGACTACATTATATATATATATATATATATATATATATAAAATCGAAATAGATTGAAATGAACTTTGTGTAGGCACGTAGTAAAAAAGAAGAGCAGGATAATAAAAGCAGGATAATAAATGGTAGTACAAACGATCTTGTAAATGCAGTGTATCGGCAATTTTAAGTTGGAGTGATACGCTGAATATATACGTGAGTAATTAACGGTAAGAGCAGTTGCCTGGAAAACGAAAGGACACGGCTCAATTATTACACGTTTTCAGTTCTTCATAAGAATTTTTTCTTGGACACAAAAAGAAAGGTAGAAGTATCACAAATAGAATCATAAATTAGATACTTTTATTTATGCATTTGTATTAAATTTAACAAATTGTAAATTTCTTCGGAATCGATTTACCGTTACATCGCATGACAAATAGTTGTCTTCTTTCAGTCGGAAAGATCTGAAGATAAGAAATGATTCTATTCAACTTTTATTAACATTGAAAACTACTCATAACAATAGGATATCTTTACGCTGTTGGAAACGATTGGTTTTTTTATTGTGAAAGATGAATGGACAAGACGATAGAAGGCTAGGACAATAAGATTATTTTAAAGATAATCAGAAACTCATGTTAATTGGAAACTTATATATTCATAAATATTTGTATTTTTTCATAGATGTCCACAAATATCAATCTATAACATCGAAATGTGGTATCTGAAATATGGAATTAATTACGTACCGTCAACTGCTGTCTCTTCATCAAGATAAACAATTTATCGTTAGTTTCTGCATCAGGCGATAGTATGGAAAATTGTTTACACTTGGGAAATGTGACGTTTAAGCTTATTAATTGCTCACATACAGCGCATATATTGTACATACTATACCACTTGAATGGTTTTCCATTTTGCAAATAACTTGAGAAAGGCCGATGCTATTAACGTGACCGACTGATATTAATCATACGGTTCACTGTGCAATTAAAATGGCGTAATTATACGCTCCGGGCAATGCGACCCAATTAGATAGTTCTATTTTCGAATTTTTATCTTCCTCTTAATTTTGCTGAAGAATCATTTTGCAAGAAACAAAATCATCCATATTCTTTTGAAATAACTTCGAGGTCAGTGGGTAAGCTTCACGGTAAATTCCGCGATTATTGTTAACAGCGTAGCAATTGATTATGCAGAACGGAAATACGCTTTCATCGGCGAATGATAAACTAACGTTATTGGATCTCGTGAGGAAAGGAGGTCACCGTCGATAGTGATACGCACAGAGGCTACGCGTAAAGTTACGTGCCGATTGTCATCATCACATCGGCGAACCCGAAACTTTCACGCCGCTTGTCCGTGGGCAAAAATGGTTCGTTCCCGTCTCTTCCCTCTCCTTCTTCATCATCTTTTTTTTTTTCTATTCCTGGCACGGATACACGCTCATACATACATACATACATACATACATACATACATACATACATACATACGTACGTGCGTGCGTGCGAACGTTCCGCGAGTGGCATTTGCAATGCAAAACTCGCCGGCACGAAGGTCATTAATTATGCACTCCGCGCGACAGCGGTGCGCAACAATAGAGTCGCCGAGGCGCGCACACTCCAGCGTGCACGATCATCGGCCCGAGTAGATTTTCCTCGCTATATATGTTTTCGCAACGGATGATCCTCTTTGCGTCGAGTCGCTCGAGGACTCTCTTTTGTACCGAGGAATTTGAACAATGGCTCTTCACCGGGTCTCTTTCTCAGAGACGGATTAAAGGAAATGCTGAATTGTAGGATTGTCGTTTCGTTACTTCTCTCGCGATTTTTTAAATGCATCTCTTTCTTTTCCTTTAATCCCAAGAATGCCGAATAAACCTTGCCCTAGGTACAAAGAATTCGATGCGGGCATTCCCACAGAATTTATCAGATGCAAATACACCGTGGCGGATATTTTACAGTAATTGAGATTGTAAGGCTATTTCACCCACGTAAATATTGTAATATATTAATTAATTTGCGGGCGTACATATTCATATGTAATTTCTTAATTATAGGGTAATTTTATGTTACCAGGGAAATATGAAATAGCCATGATATTTTTAGTTTACCTCGACGGGCCTCAAAATAAATTCGTATTTTATATAAATTCTCGCGTGAAGTTAAAAACGCCTGGGAATAGAGAATTTTACGTACATTTGGGTAATGTAATTACGATTTTATTATAGATCTCTGCATATAAGCTTTCTCGTATTATATATATATATATATATATTTTCTTTATTATTTTTAGTCAAGATTTTGATGCAGACACGGAAAGAACTTTTTATTAAAGTAAAAAATTTAGCCACATTGAGAAAAATTTCTGGTTGCACGGGAAAGATAATTTTGCTGAAGTATGTTTAAAATTGTAGCTACATACATACAGATTTGAGAATAATTTTATTAGACTCAAAATAATTATTAAAATGTCAATACATTTTGTAATATATTCCTCATCATGCTTCATATTTCTAAGTCATTATTTTGATAATCCAACAAAATTACTTTCACATCTATATGTAGTTAAACTTTTAGATAACTTTAGAAAAATTGTTTGTTCCATGTGAAAATGGACAATTCAGAAAATTCTGATTATTATCAACAAAGA